TGCCCAACATCACCCTGGGCTACAATGTCTATGAAAATTATTTCCATGCAGGCAAGACTTCAGATGCTTTGCTGGACCTGCTTTCAGACGGGGAGGCCAACGTCCCCAACTACAGCTGTGGAAGGAGGAGACACACAGTGGCGGTTCTCGAAGGGGCTGAGACCGACATCTCCTTCCAGATTTCGACCCTGTTGGGCACCTACAAAATCCCTCAGGTGTGTCTTTGCAAGGGAGATAGTTTTCAAGCATGCAACTTTCAATCAGAGGTCCTCAATTATAAAATGAGTTTTCTCAAGGAAATGATAAGCATTAAATTTTGTATGTGAAATTTAAATATACAATTTTCTTTCATTCCTTTTCAGATTAGTTACACTTTTGTTTCCCAGCTTCTGAGGGATAAAACTCAGTTTCCTTTCTTCTACCCCATGCTCCCTGCTGAAGGAGCCCAGTACCCAGGGATGGTCAAGCTGCTCCTCCATTTCAGGTGGACCTTGGTGGGTCTCCTTGCTCCAGACACTGAGAACGGACAAAGGTTCATGAGGACATTGACTTCCATGCTGATCAGGAATGGCATTTGTCCAGTTTTATCACAAACCTTTCCTGCAGCTACCTATGCAGTATCCATAGATGTGTGGCCGTACCACAACTGGAGACAAGTGAACGTCTTTCTTTATGGTGCAGAGAGTGAGTCGCTCCCTTCAGGAATATTCCTTTTACATGTAGTATTTCAAACCTTTCGGGAACCTGTTAGAGGAAAAGTCTTGTTTATAACAGTCTGCTGGGACTTCAGCATTTATATGGCAAGTGAGGTCATTCCCCTGCAAAACTTCCATAGCATTTTTTCCTTTATTATGAAGGGAAACAAAATGGCAACATCTGCTGAGGATGTGAATTTCAAAGATTTCACGGAAAACTTTACAGAGTTATCCTTCATGTGTTCCTACACCAAGGATGCCTTTTCGGTGAAAGTCTGGAGACGGTGCAAGGAGAGAGAAGAGCTGGAGGCTCTGCCTCAGGAGATCATTGATCGGATCCTGTCCCTGGATAACTACTTCATTTACAACACCATCTGGGCTGTGGCATGGGCCTTACATGCAGCCTACTTATCCAGATCTAAGAGGACAAGGATCAAAGGTGGGAAGAACTTGGAAAGTCCAAGGCTAAAAGGATGGCAGGTATTTCTTTTCTGTTGCATATTTCTTTCCTGCAGCTGAGAATCAATTTCACGAGTGTAAGAACTGGGCGGATATTCTGAAAAACTAATTTATTCTGAATACAGACAAATAAATCCATCTTTCCAGTCCTCTCCCTTTTGCATTCTTTGACTCCTTTCCTTTCTGTTGCAACCTATTATCTTCTTAAAATGGTTTTCAAAGGGAATACTTTGGTGTCTTCACTGTTTAGAGACCTTCTCCGTTGTTGACACAAAATTCATTTAAGGGGTTCTTGGTCAACCTCTTATACTGCCTGCATGTCTTTCTTCTTGGACATCTCTCTTTGCAGCAGGAGCTCTGCCATGTCTGACTCCATACTTCGATGCTTTCAATGTTTGGCCCTCTTCTCCCTCATTCAATCCAAGATAATTTCATTCCAATAATGGTTTCTTGTTACATATATTGCTTTCCTTGCATTAGTTTTTTTCTTTTCTTTTGATTCATTCTGGGTGATATATCAAACAGCATAATGCCCCTGACCTCTCATCTGCTGGCTGCCCCTCTGCTCAAGGACTTCCTTTGTCCAGAGACACTTTCCAATCCTCAGTTGCACCCAATTGGATTCCTTTCCCCCTCCTCTAAACTCTCTGTAGGACTGAAGACACCAAATGGTGAAGGGTCTCAGCAATGGCAGCATGTGGCCAACAGTCTCTGGGCTGAGAAACTATGTAGGTGTGATGCAGGTTACCATATGGATGGAGGAAATCTGGAAGAAGATCAAGAGGGAACAAAGGGACATGGATGTTCCATTGTGTCACCAAAATGGAGCTTAACTGGCAGGAGACTTCATCTTTCACAATGGAGATTTAGGGTTTCATCTCCTTGTCAAATGATATGCTTTTTCCTCAGATTCTTAAGTTTTGAACTCCCTACTTCACTGTTTATTCAGACTCAAGGTGGTATCCATAGCACAAGCTCCCTCCAACCTTTTCCCAAGAACAACCCTAAGGAGAAGTTGGGCTGACAACTGGCCCAAACACCCCCAGTGGGATTCCATGGCTGAAGGGGGCATTAATCCTCCCTCTCCCCAGTCCTGGACCATCACCTGAAACACTGCACCACCTTGGCTAAGGTTGGAAAGGAGCCCAGTTGGACTTATGCATAGTAAGGGTTGATCTGACTTGTTTCCTTATAAACACAGTCTATAATTTTTCTACCTGTACTGTGTATGTTCCTGAATTGGTATTCCTGCTCAGAAGCTGAGCAGCTGAAAGAGAGACCACAATCCTTTTTCTCTCCTTTCTCCAACTCTCATCTCTTGAAGCTTACTTTGCACATTAAATGACTAACCCTAATCCTAACCCTCTTCTAAAAAGAGCAGTTCCATTCTGAGAGTTCCAGAAAAGGCAAGAAAATCTCAGAATGAGAAGCATCTGTTTGCCCTCTCTTCCTGCCTCTGCAAAAACAGGAGGATGGTCACGGCCGAACAGGCTGTGCCTGGGGTGAGAGTCAGATGGGCCACTCCACCACATCCATCTTTGTGTCTGTGTGCAATTGTGCACTTCCTGACAGACGTATAGGGAGGAAGACCACCCAGAGCACCCAGAAAACCTGAAAATGTATGCAATCAGAGAGATTTGCCAATGATTTCATGCTTTCTTGAACAATGACACTTCCTTGAATAGTTTTTATAAGTGTTTTTATGGTAGATATTATCAATTGGAGCCTCCAAAAATACCAATTCTCTTTAGACCCTAAATCTCTAAGTTAATGAATGAGCTTATGCTTTGAAAAACCCAAAACAGAACAATAATTAATAACCAGCCCATACAATACCCACCCCCCAAGTCCTGCTGTGCTACCTCATCATGGTAGAAGGGGGTTCCTGAGTGAAGAACACCAAGAGTAGATGCCAAGAGCACATATTCCCAGCAGAGTCACCCAGGGCATGAAGGTCATCCCGGCTGCTCAGCTAAAGCCAGCAGGCACCCCCATTTGGGAGCAGCGATATAGGAAGATGCCAGATGCAGATGGTGACTTTGGTGACAACAGTAAAGGCGTCTCTTCATACTGTGTGGGAGAAGTTCTGTATGTTTACCAAGAAAACCACATGGATAGAAAATATAAAATGATTGATGATGTAGTGCCAGACGATGGGCCCCTCAGGTCGCAGGGCATTCAACATGCTACTGAGGAAGAGCTGAAGATCTTTCGTAGAAATAATGGTGTTTATGATGTGGCTCGATTAAACCCTTTGGGACATCGAGTTGCTGATGTTGCCATGCAGGAAAAGAAAATCTGAACTTTGTGAAGACAGCCTTCTGACTTGGTAATGATCGGAGTGTTGATGTAACTTCATCATCTAATCTAGAGGATCTTGTAAATAGGGGATATCTTCTAAGGTATCCTAGATGTTAACATCTCTATTGCATAGTGTTTCAGTATATTCCTTCCATTTTTGTTTGATCTCCTTTGAATCGGCTACTATCTGTCCATTGACATCCTTCAGCATACCAATTCAAAGCTGGGGCCTCCTGAGTTCAAAATCTTTTGGAAGACATTCCTTGTTTTTCCATGTCTGTTTTCATCTACAGTGTCTTTACAGATGTTGTCCTAATACCGCTTCTCTTCTCTTCTAACAGCTCTCTGAAACTCTTTGTTCAGTTCCTTTCTGAGATTTTTGTCATCCTTGGCTTTGGCTTCTGGTTTCTTCTTCACAATTCCCAAAGTTTGTTCTGACATTCAGTTTGGATTATAGACTCTCTCCTGAAGAAGCTGGAAAATGAATGTGAAACTGATTTTGTATATAGGGAGAGAAATTCCAGTTCATTCACAGCACAAATGAAGGGGACTTTCAATAAAATGTTGGATGTCCTGTCTAAACATACTCTTCCATTTCAGCTTCATTCCTTCCTTCAAAACTCTCAATTCTACAATAATTCCATATATGGAGTGTATTTCGATGAGAATGGAGACCAGGCAGCAGATCTGGACATTATGATCTCGGTGGTTTCCTCCTATTATTCTTTTATCAGAATGAAGTTTGGGAGTCTAGAAAGACAGGGATCTCTGGATTTCAAGTTGATGATCATCCAGAATGCTATTGCAGTGATGGAAGCACTGAACAAGGTGGGGAAAAGTCTTTATTTCACTCTTTCTGAAGCTCTTTCCAAGAGAAATGCACTGTTTTGACAGGGAATGGTTAGAATGCAATCAGTGTTCTCCAAAGAGAAAATACTGCTTTGTTAGATGTCCAGGTATCTATGAGAAAAATGTCCTTAACTATTTAAGTACACAATTTATCCATCCTGTGCAAAGGGAGGACATTTGAGCCCTGGGAGTAAGGTGATTGCCTTTTGCTAAAGCAAAATATCCATCCAACCTTTCTTAATTTATTTAGTATGTAAATTTAGAAATTAAAACTAAAAATCATAGTGTGTAAAAGTTAGAAAAGATTAACAGTGAAGCAACACACAGCCAAAATGTTTTGCTGAGCTCCATTTTTTTATAGACTTCAAATTTAACAAAGTTAAATCTTCAGTTGGAGATTACCAATTCCTACCTGCTTTGCTTTCTTCTGGAAATAAATTCATTATTTGGATGTTCCTCATCTCTCTGCCCAGCCCCTCCCTCCTTCCAGGTGTGTGGAAAGCTGTCGTCCTGGATTCATGAAGGTGGCTCAGGAAGGGAGGCCCATCTGCTGCTATGACTGTCTTCCTTGTGCAGAAGGAACCATCTCCACCATGGAAGGTGGGTGACACCAATTGAAAGGGGCACACTTTGGGGAAGAATATATACTCTGACATTTTCCATAAAAGGGAGGTTTGATAGGCATTTCAAAGCTTGGCTTTTTGCTGTTCATTGTTATATAATACATATCATTTGTTTCATAATAAGAAGAAATGATATTAGAGATTAAAGTGGGAGTAGACCATGAAAAGATACTGGACAAATCAGCATTGCCAAGGTGGTGGCATCTCTTGCTCTTCATCTTGTGCAAACATATTTGTGCAAAAATTAGATTGGCTGGGTCTTTGGAAAAGGATTGATCAGGTCTTCCTGCACTTGTCCATGTCTAAATGGAGCCATTTCTATACACAGCCAAAGTTCATGGCTTCAGATTTCCTGAGAAGCCACAAGACAGGCAACTTCCACTTTCAACTCTTCCTTGCTGTGTTCACAAAATCCAGATTATACCACTCCCAAAACTGGCTCCCTACACTGAACAGAGATGGCAGACCCAAAGGCCTAAATGGCCATCAAATTCCTAGGTGTACTCTCTAATGGAGCATGAGAAGAAAGAAATTTTGAGTCTCAGCTGAACCACACTGTCTTCATCATCACTATCTACATTATCCATCAGACTCCTGGGTTCTGTCTCTAATGGAGGGTGAGAATAGAGAAGTCTTGAGTCTTAGCTGAGTCAGGCTTCCTTTTTGTCCTGGTGGAAAAATGGTCCCACAAATGGTTTGTTCAGAATGCATGATGTCCTCAACCCACCCCCATCATACCAAAGGTCACCTCTACCTAACTTTCTTCTTCCATGTCAAAACTAGTGTTTTCCAAGTTTTGCTGACCTAAGCTGTGCTAAGAAGTCCTTGACTTGGACTTCTTTCCATTTTATGGAATCACTGGTCACCTGATGCTCTGATGGAAGGTTGGTCTTGTTTTTTAAACAGGTTCAGGAATGGTGAAATGGTGGATCCTTCTTTCTTTCTTTGTGTCCGAGTGAAAATGGAAAGAGTTCAGCCACTTTTACAGTATACCTCCCTCCCTTTTCCACTTATAGCCAAAATAACAGGAATTACACTACAATTGCATGCCCAAAGAAGCTACTGGCCCCTGATGTCTACACATGAGTAACAGGGACAAAGAAGGAGTGGAATTAAGCACTGACCAGACCAAAACCCTGCCCAACTCTAGGACTAAATGTGGAAATGTATTTTTAGAAACGTTCAACATCCCCCATTATCTATGTGGGAGACAGGCAGCTGAGATTATCACAGAGATGCCTTTTCAGAAGATTCAAACCTGAGAGGAGCCATTAAAGCCATGAGTCCAACTGCTTGCTCATTTCAGGAACCAAAATTCCAAAGCCACCACTTGAACCATGGAGAGGATGTCCTGTTTTAAATTTCAAACACACATCTACACACACAGAGTTGCTAGGTGATGGTGGCAATTTACTCACAGCTGAACAGAGAAATGGCAGACAAACAAAGGAACATAAATCAAACAGGGTCTTGCTTTCCACAGGAATGCTCAGAAGAATAGTTGAGATTCAACCCAAACTTCAGAGAGGCAGGCAAGGTTAATCAGTCTATCCAAGGGTCAGAGTTTCAAGAACAATGCACCAGACACAGGAAATAAGATAGTTGTTTCCAACAAGGAAACACAGGTCAGAGCTGCCTCTTAAATCTTAAGCACTCTTATGTTCTGATAGCACCTGTGTTCAATCAGCCTCAGGTGATTCCTGGCTTAGTTTCTCCTGAGGCTAATATCTCAGTGGTTCAGCTGGAGCAGCTTCTTCAGAGTCAGGGCCTGAGTCCTGGGCCATGAAAGAAGAGCCCCGTCTCTCACGATACTCATTCTTACTGCATACTGAATTCCTCCTCACACAATCATTCATATAATCTCCAATTTCACCCAAATGACACATTTGATTAAAATGCATCCTTTCTGGGAGATCTTCCTCTTGCTCTTTTTCAGATGGAGAAAAATGCAGAAAATGTCCAGAAGATCAACATCCAAACATTAATCAAGTTCACTGTATCCCCAAGATTAAAACCTTCCTATCCTATCAAGAATCTCTGGGGATCATCCTGGTTTCCACTGCTGTGTTCTTCTCTTTAGTCACAGGCTTTGTCTTGGGAATCTTCATTAAATTCCAAAAAACTCCAATTGTCAAAGCCAACAACCGGGACCTGTCCTACATCATCCTCATTACCCTCCTGCTTTCCTTCTTGACCTCTTTCCTCTTCATTGGCCAACCAAGGAGAGCCACCTGCCTTCTCCGACAAACAACTTTCAGCATCATTTTCTCAGTTGCTGTCTCTTCTGTCTTGGCCAAAACAGTCATGGTGGTGTTAGCCTTCTTGGCCACAAAACCAGGGAATAAAGTGCAAAGATGGCTGGGGAACAGCCTAGCCAACTCCATCATCCTTTCTTGCTCAGGTGTCCAAGTCGTTCTCTGCACATTCTGGCTGGGAACCTCTGCTCCATTTCCTGACTCTGACATGCAGTCCCAGCCTGGAGAGATCATCCTGCAGTGCAATGAAGGCTCTGTCACCATGTTTTATGGGGCCCTCGGCTACATGGGCTTCCTGGCAGCCATCTGCTTCATGGTGGCTTTCCTGGCCAGGAACCTTCCTGGAGCCTTCAATGAAGCCAAGCTTATTGCCTTCAGCATGCTGGTTTTCTGCAGTGTCTGGGTCTCTTTTGTACCCACGTACCTGAGCACCAAGGGGAAGTACATGGTAGCTGTGCAGGTCTTCTCCATCTTGGCCTCCAGTGCTGGTCTGCTGGCCTGCATCTTCTTCCCCAAGTGCTACATTATTCTGCTAAGACCAGAGCTGAATACAAAAGAGCATTTGATGTCAAAATAAGACAGTAAAGTGGGTTTGGGGTGAAGTATTTTCCAAACTTGTCAGTTAATAATTCCAACAAACAGCCTTTTACCTCTTAATTTTCCTAAGAACACAATTCCTGTGTTTTGATGTCATGATAGAAATGGACCGTCACTTTTTAATAAATATAATTTCCCACTATTTCTTTGCTCTTGAGTTTATAGAAAATTGTGTGGAAGGATATAAATGCTTTGGGTGAGTGAAAGAGGATTTTCCAAGGCTACATTAGAACCAGAGACCAGGACATAATTTTGTTGGAGCATAAATTGGTGTATTGATGGTGCTGGAGAAAAGATGGGCCTAAAGAGGGGAGAGGTTATGGTCCCTTTTTATAGACTGATGCAAATCAAAAGATACATACAGTTGGAGTGTAGGCAAGAAGAATTATTTGACAGGATATTTCACATCACGTATCTAGTGAGATCAGTGAGGCAACTGGACTTCAATATGAGGGCAGGGCTACAAAAACAATGGGAATGTTGAAACAATAAAAAGGAAACACTTTATAAATAGAATTTATTTCTTGAATGTGACTCCCACCATATCTCCCACTGCTGATCACCACATCAAACTTCCTCCCTACTTGTAATGGCTTGTGAGAATAACCTTGGGAGACAGGAGGAAGAGCCGCAGCCTAAACAATGGTCTGGTAACAGAAATCTGAGCCCACAGAAAGAATAGGGGTGGAAAAGGCATCTGAAAAGGCACCATCCCTAGTTCTTTGGAAAGTAAAAGCAGGAGAGGGGGGACACGCTTTCAGACCTGTAGGATTCTGTTACTGTAACCATACAATAAAGATAGCATTAGTACTCATGGTTTTGGTTTCCTATCTGGACTACTTTGAAAGGTTGACATCAATCCTGCAAGTCCCATACTCTTTTTCTAGAGAGACAGAAGATCCAGCTTCATCTTTTAGAAATGGCCTCTAATCACCAAGGTACACCACAATACACTATCCCACTAACCCACCCAGTCCCATCCCCATAATGAAAAATGTGTGCAGCATTTTCTGGGCTTTGCTAACTTCTACCAGACGTTCATTCTTAATTTTGCTGACCATGTAAAAAGGCTGTCTCAACTCTTAAGAAAGGGTCAGTCATCCTCCTGGTCTACTCAAGAGCAATAGGCATTTCAAGAGTTAAAACAGCTCTGACTCACAGCTGCTCCTCCAGCACTTTGACTCTGCCCCTTCATAGTAACTTTGGTTCTACAAGTGTAATTTTCAGTGGTTTCTTTAAAAAATATATTCACAGTTTTCAAGCATGAGTGAATCTGGATACCTCTGGTGCAATGATTTAAACTTAAGTGTCTTTACTCATACTCACACAGACACCCACATCCACACTCACACCCTTATTTTCTACACTCAAGAACAAAGAAAAGAAAAGAAAAGAATAAATAATGTTTATTTAATAGTAGCTTATTTCTATTGTAACTTGGGATTTTTGTTCATTTCTATATAAAGATTAAATTGTCAAATACTGTTCCTTGAACTTCCCAAGTAATATTTTTGAGAAATAGCTTTTTAACAACTCATTTTTCTATTTTATTTATATATCAAATGTTCTGTTGTATACAGATCTGGCCTTATAAATAATATAGCACTCAGGGACAAAGACGCAGGCCAGCAGGCCTGCACTGGAAGCCAAGATGGAGAAGACCTGCACAGCCACCATGTACTTGCCCTTGGTGCTCAGGTAGGTGGGCACAACGGACACCCAAATGCTGCAGAAGGTCAGCATGCTGAAGGTGACCAGCTTGGCTTTATTGAAAGCCCCTTGGAAGCCATTGTGAAGCAGATGGCAGCCAAGAAGCCCATATAGCCAAGGGCAGCATAAAACATGGCAGCAGAGCCTTCATTGCATTGCAGGATGATCTCCCCAGATTTAGAGTGCAGGTCAGAATCAGGGAACAGGGCAGACATGCCCAACCAGATGCCACATATGACAATGTAGACACAAGAGCAAGAAATGGTAATGGAGTTAGCTAAGTTCTTCCCCAGCAATCTTTGTAATTGATTTCCTAGTTTTGTGGCCAGGAAGGCCAACGCTACAGTGATTGTTTTGGCCAAGACAAAAGACATGGCAGCTAAGAAGGTGATGCTGAAGGCTGTTTGTCAGAGAAGGCAGGTTGGTTTGGTTGGGCGACCAATGAAGAGGAAGGAGATCAAGAAGGAAAGCAGGAGGGAGACCAGGAGAATGTAGGAAAAGTCCCTGTTGCTGGCTTTGATGTTTGGAGTCTCTTGGAATTTAATGAAGATTCCTAAGACAAAGCCTGTAATTAGAGAGGAACAAGGCAATGGAATCCAGGATGATCCCCAGAGATTCTTGATAGGATAGGAAGGTTTTAATCTTGGGGATACAGTGATCTTGACTGATGTTTGGATGTTGATCTTCTGGACATGTGGGGCATTTTTATGCATCTCTGTGGAACATGAGTTTTGGTGCCCTGTTCTGGCTGCTGTTCTGCTGGCACAAACCAGCATATCGAGAGCAGGAGATGTTTGGCCGAGCAGGCAGAAGTCATGCCACGCTGAGCACACTACAGTAATTCCAGCCCATGTCTTTCTTTTCAATCCCTCTCTTGCCAAGCCAGGAAATGGGGGAGGGAGATGGAGAGAAAGGGGAAGGAAGCAGGAGAGAGAGGGGGGGAATAGTCACTGGGAGGGTGTTCCTAGGAGGAAACCCAACACTGGGACTGCAGTGTCTATGCCGGTTGTAAAGATCTGCTGTAAATAAGGTCACTGTATATAGTAAGAACCACAACAGCCTTCACTGTCTTGTTTTTCTGTGCCAGTTGCTACCTGTGTAAAGTGAAATACACCTCCCGTTCCTGTCACACTGTGACAATCTGAAAGAGAGCAAGAGTTGGGTCTCCCATTCAGCCTGTCCTTTAATCAGATGCATTGATTGGGTGAAATTGTTGCTGGTGTGAATGATTATCTGTGGAGGAATTTGTGCATGGTACATGGAACACTGCTGGGAGACTTCTCTTCAGGTTGCATCTTCACAATCATATTTTCTCACAGGTTGCATATTTTCCTAATGGAGCAATGGTTGCATTTTCACACAATCAGAACAGAAATTGACTACACCTTTTTCATAAATATGATTTCCCCCTTTACTCTCTGGCACTCAGTCTATTGAAAAGTGTGCAAGTGTGTGCAAGTGTGTACAAAGCAGCTTATGTTGAACAGATTGTGTGACACGTTTTCTAGCTTTGTAAATTCTGCTGACAGAAGATGTGCTAAGTGCTTCATCTGCAGTTGAATCCATTGTATGTAGTTTTTCAGTGCTCCTCCACATTATGATGAAAAGCTGGACTTTTTTTAACAGGTTCAGCAGTAGAAATGTGGAATTGGGCTCCTTCCTTCCTTCCTTCCTTCCTTCCTTCCTTCCTTCCTTCCTTCCTTCCTTCCTTCCCTCCCTCCCTCCCTCCCTCCCTCCCTAACAGACTTTAGCATCACCTTCTGTCCTGTCCAAAACAATCACGATGGTGATTTGCCACAAAACCACAGAATATAAGGAAGAAATGTCCGAGCAAGAGCTTGGCCCACTTCCTTTCTTGCTTTGTTCTCAAAGTTGTTTGGGCACTTCTGTCTCCTTCTCTGACTGGGAGATGCACTGTCATCCTGGAGAGATTGTTACGTTTATGGAACCCTCGACTTTCCCTTTCAAGAGTCTGACATGGCCTCACAATTTGGAGAGATCATCCTGCAATGCAATGAAGGCTCTGTACCCATGTTTTATGTTGCCCTCAAGTACATGGGCTTCCTGGCTGCTTCTTGGCCTTGAATGAAGCCAAGCTGATCACCTTTAGCATGCTGATCTTCTGCAATGTCTGAGTATCTTTTGTGCCCTCCTACCTGAGCACCAAGGGGAAATACATGGTGACCATGCAGGTCTTCTCCATCTTGGCCTCGAGTGCTGGTGTCAGGATCTACACAAGCTATAACCTCTGATTTTTTTTATTACTTTTATTATGTCTAGTAAGAGTAAAAAGAAAGAATTTTAGTGGCGGGCCGCTTGCTTGACCTGCCATTGAAGGGGGGAGAGGAGGGCAGGTGCTGTTATCTTTATCTCTACACAGGCATCTCCAAGGCCAAGTGTTGTGAGAACCGGAGCAAGGCGTGAAGAATTTCAAGCGGGAAAAGAAAGGAGCAAGGGGGGGGGGGACTTGGGGCTTAAAAAGAGAACAGTTTTGCTTGTAGAATTAGACTCAACAATCTATGCTGCTGTGCACTTCTCCTAATAAAGAAATCTTACATGGAACTGTTTAGTCTCCAGCGGATTTACTGAATTTTGGGAATGAGTGTGCAGACTCTGACATTTTGTTGAGTCTCTTCAATTCTAATGAGGGATTTACCCGGGGAATAATTCCACTGTGGAGACCCCTCCCAAAAACCCTCCCACGGCTGCGGAGATGGAAGAAGAATGCCCTATACTCGGGGCAGTAGGGGGGATTGAGGAGGAGGAAGAACCCCTAACAGCAACCTACGCCCGCCTCCCTCCACCCCGCAAACCTGATCGGCACTTAACCAAGTTATGGAGCATGGACAAGCTGGTGGGGGGAATGTCGTTCCTGGACATGGATCCTGAGCAGCGCTGGGCTCTGACTACGGGGAGAGTCAAATCCACCCGCGTGGGAGTGCTAGAGGAGTGCGTGAGCATGCTGCAAGCCGAGAACAGCTGGATGCAAAAGGAGCTGGTCAGGATGAGTAATCTCATACGGTGCTCAGGTATGTTCCAGGTCTCCGAGGAAGAGGGAGAGTGCAGAGAAGAGAAGTTGGGAGAGACACTATTAGCCCCCCCCTCCAACTCCCGTGACAGCAACTCCGGTCACCC